ATAAAAAGTTGTTAAATTGGTAGTGTTGTTACTTTCATGTTTTCTAACACTTTTAGCTGATTAAAAATTACTGGGCAAACAGTTATTTGTAAGTGTATTTCCCACAGTATTTTAAAAATATTGAAGATTTTAAGTGTTATTTCCCATATTATAAGTTAGAAAATATGAAAAAGTTTGAGTTTATTTCCAACATCGTATGAGTTGCAATATGTAAAATATTTTGAGTGTATTTCCCACCTTAATTAAGTTGAAAAATATTGAACATTTTGAGTTTATTACTCCCTAATTATAAGTTGAGGAATATCAACATTTATGAGTTAACATTGAGGTAATTTAAGGCAACTGCAACTATAATTTTTATTTTAGTTAAACTTAAAACTTTTAAAAACATCACTAAAAAATTGCTGTGTAATCTGTTACACAACAATTTTTGAGTTCTGTGAACTTATTAGGTTTTACAGTGTACCAGAATCAAAAAATAAAGGGTATGTCTGGAGTTTGAGAAAATATTGTGCAGCTCAGGTGATAATTTGAGTTTGGATTGGTTATCTAGAACCAAGTACAAACTTTAATTAGCCAAAATGGCTGAACACCATTTTAAAACACAGAGAAATCTCTCAAAGAAAGAACTGTTGCTGAACTGAATGAACTGGAAAGCTGACTGTTTTTCTTTTCGTGATATCTCTCCCTGACTGTTACACATTTGCATAATGCCACAGGCTATTTTGGTATGATTTCAAGGATGAGCAGGGATGTGGTTTGGGAACCAATCTTACTGAAGACCTGGAAAACAGTTTTATCAGTTAGTGATGAGCTATGCATATTCTCTTTGGCATATTCTTTTTTTTCTTTTCTTTTCTTTTTAAATTACAAATTAAAAAATCTGAAAAATAAAAACAGAAAATTGTAAAATTTGGTCAAATTAACAGTGCAAATTACCATAACACCAGAATTGCACAAATGTTCTAACGGGAGCAAAAAGTTCTGATGGTGATCGACTAAAAATGCGTTAATTTACAAAGCAAAGAGGCAGCAGTTCATTTCTGACCTACACAACTTACCAACACTGTAAATTAGTACATCAAAAACAAGCAGACTTAATGTGTCAGTGAAAAATGGACCAAAAAAATCATTTTAAATTTTATGGATGACTTTCTGTCTGGAAACATTATGACAATTTAGATCAGGATATGAGAGGGTGCTGAAGACGAATCCAAATGTTTTTGATTCAAAGCAAAATTTGGACGGCAGAAATTACTGGTGACTGTGTATAAATAAATAATGTGTATGATCCCCAGAAAGGTCTGACAGCTCACTAGAGGGGCTGCCTTATTTTGAACATACATTATGAATCAACTGATTATGTTTGTTTACAACAAAGAATGTTTACAAAATGGTAAACTCGTAAACATTCTTTATTGTGAACTTGTAGAAATTTGGTTCTAGAGAGAAGTTATAGAAAGGTTAACCAGTCTTTAGTAATCAGAGTAACCATGCAGTTCCATATCATGCTCAACATTTACAGAACTTGTGCTCCATTTCATCAAGAGCTGAGTATTACAGAAGACAAGAAATTTAGGGCGCTGACTTCTAAACATCCAAGTATGACATTACAACACCAAGGTAAATGTTTGGTACATCTCTTGCAGGTCTGAGTCATCGATCTATGCTAATTACCACTCGTTAGAAAGAAAAAGAAAAGCAATCATGATGCTAACGATCATACATTTTTATTAAGTCAATTTCCTGCTGCAAACCTCAGTAAATCAGGTTTGCATGAATCAGATAAATACTGTGCTGGCAGGAACAAAGCAGACACTTTTACACTGGCACAGACTGCTAATAAATCTGACCCTTGGTCTGATTTAAAACAGAAACTGTTTTTTTCTTTTTTTCTTGCTGCCTTTTGTTAATGTAATTTATGTCAGTGTTAATTAACTACACAATTTTAAACATAAATGATTGGCGTGTGTGTGTTTGTGCGCGTGTTTTGATTTATGTGGACTAAAAGTCACAGCAGCATGACATACAGTATAGTAATGGCTTGCTTTTACAACAGCTAGTCTTTCAGAGTCCCCAGACATGATAATTGATTTTTTTGCATTGAAAAAGGAGATGGCAACCTACCACTGCATCTTTTATTTATCACACATATTTTAAATTGTTAGGTATCAAAATTAACACAGTAAATTAAACTGTTGTGTCTCTCACTTTCAAATGTGTGAGGTTTTTTTCCCCCCCCAGTTGTCATCTGTAATGGAGTCACTAACACAGACACATGCTCAAAGACATTTTGGTATCCATTGCATTGAAGTCTAGCTTGGTTGTGAGCTGGCGTTAAATCCTCCCATTCTGCACACAAATGAATATATTATTTGGTGAGGATTAGTGTTAAATTGCTCTTTCTCTCCTTCTCTCTCTGTGTAGACTTAATAGAATGAGAGAATTAAACGCCAACTACCATCCAAACAATACTTAACCAGACTGGATGGCACCATGTCTTATTTTGTATGTGCTGCCAGTTGTTTGTGTCTGAACAGAATAATTTGCCTGTGTCTGCACATCTTTGTATTATATGTTTGTAGACTTATGTATTTAATAGCAGAGTGATAAAAACTAGATGTAAAAATATGTGCAATGAGTAAAACATTGCGCTGCATTCAAGTGAAAATGAGTAGAACTCAGTCCTCAGAGGGAAAAATAAAGAAATAAATCACCACCAAAAAGTGTCATGTCAGTGTCAAGTATATGTGGATTAATGGTATGTTAAAACATTTATTTGCACCTTCAGCTGTAATGATTTATCACACAGGTCTGAAATTGAAGCCCTGGGTTTCAGTAACCTGGTATTAACATTTAAAGCTCCAGTTTCTAGATATGTGAGCTGGATGAATAAATATTTTTTATGTTAATACTTTATCACACACTTGAATGATATTTAAAGAGGACATGAAACGCTGCATATATAGAGGTTATTTACATCCTGGAGCCCCAACCACCAACCAACCACATGACTTAATGTTCAGTACTAACAGAAGATCGCGCTACACGTATTTTAAAAACCAGCACTTATCTTGTAAATCCAGCTTCACGCCCAGTGTTACATCAGTTTTTGAGAGCCGGGCTCCATGATGTAAATTAACCTTTACATGTATATGTGTAGCTTTTCACATCCTCTTTAATGTGAAGAGTCACTTGCTGTCACAAAAAAAGAGAATAAAAAACATAGCCAACTAACCAAGTTTTTAATCATTTGAACACATTTTAAAGCTATTATTATTTATTTTTTACGCTCAACACTACTTGTTAGAACATCAGATAAAGTGCTCTTCTAGCTCTTAAGCCTGGTAGAACATTTAGCAGCTAAAAGGCCAGATAGTTCTCAGATTGTGTTTAACAGAAGTTCTCCTGTTCCCAAAGGGTCAAAAAAAAGACAAAACATCCTCTGTCAATAAAATTAGAGGCTCTTACTCAGAACTTTTCAAACACCTATCAGTTCTCCTGATATTTATAAACAGCTTCTCCTTAGTACAGTTTTATATTGAGCATTTCCCTAAACATAACTGGTAAACAGTTTATAACAGTATTTATACATTTTGTCAAAAGTTTTTTGTACCTGTGCGGTGCTAATTATCTGCTTGTTTGTTAATTTATTTCTGTTCTTGTTTTACCTGCAAAAACGTTTACATTTTAGGCATTAAATAGGTTAAATAACTAGTATCAGTCACTGACAGTAACAATAAACCAAAAAAAAAAAAAATAAAAGGAGAAGGCAGGGGCAAAGAGAAACAAGGGGTGGACAATAAAGAAGGAGGAGGAGAGGGAGAGGGCAACACGCTCACTTATACAGACACTATTTACAATGCAGTAATGACCAGTGTTGGGACTAACGTCGTTATTAAGTAACGCGTTACAGTAACTACGTTATTATTGTGGTAACGAGCACGGTAACTAGTTATTATGCCAAAATCAGGAACGCGTTAGTCGTTACTGGGATTTAGATAGGGTCGTTACTCGTTACTTCGTGTGGTGGCTATCGCGGAGCTTCCACAGATTCAGTAACATTAGCAAGTGGTGGAGGCCAGCAGGTGGATGAAGGAAAGGGACGCAGAAGGAAAAGAGACCCGAGGCGGCCGCCGGTCCAAGTGTGAACTGAACTTCAGGTAAGAAGTTACTGAGTCCTCTGTGATATGAACCAAGTTTAGGTGGAGTTTATTTTCGTTATTCTGACTTTTTCCGTACTGCGTGCTAGCTAGCATGACGGAGTTTCTATACAGCTGGGTGGTGCTATGATGTTAATGATGTTGAACTTTATTTTGTTCATAAGTTATTAGAGTTGCCAACCGTCCCGTCTGGTATTCAGAGAAAATATTACGCGTTTCTTATTGAGGTGAAAAGGAACAGTTTGTCCCGTAATTCAGCTACAATGAAAAAGACACAAAGCTGGAGTTATTCTGTGTCTTTGCTGCACAGCTGCCTCTTCTTCTCTCATTCTCCCCCTCCCTCTCCGTTTCTACTTCAATCATGAAACTGATCAATGATCAGCTGATCGGCTCTCTTGTTTGTTTATCGCTCACTTTGCGCCGAAAGAGGAA